ACGGAATCTTCTATATTTTCTGTCCTTTTCTGTCTTGAGCTGAAAGGCATATTTGCCACATCGCTCCATATGCTTGGGGTTTTTCATGAGAAATTCTAGATCGGACGTAAAGCTTATCTCTTATATTCCTGCATTCCACAACGTTCTCAAACAAAAACTCGATTCAGCTTTAGAAGACAATGCACCTGACGTCTTGTTTTCGTTCTACAACAATATTTATCCTTATAATGGATTATATGGATTCAAATGTTGGAGAGAGATTATGACGTTTTATAGGCTGAATACTTTTCGACTACCTAATATTTAAAATAGGCGTTAGGGCAAAGTAAAGCTTATTCACTTGGTTTGAGATAATTTTACAGACATTAAGTATGTTTAATGAAAACATTTAACCCACATTCATCAATTGTTAAATAAATATTGAAATGTTGTTACGTAAATTCCATAAGTAACATAGTGTAGGTTGAAAACGCTTATCACCTAACATTTAATAAAATTTAAGAAACTTGTACAGACTGTAGCCAGACAAGAGAATAGAAATTTACTTACCATTTATGGCTTATCAAGCAACACTACATTTGACAAGTAAGGTTGATAGTAAGTAAGCAAGTGTACATAAATGGCGCCTAATTGGCATGAACGCGTATGTAGCACATATACTGCTTATATTTATATTTGCAATGAGAATATGACAAAAGCGATAAATTCAATATTTAAACTTTTCAAGCCAAATATGCTAAAAGTCCTTTTTAGAGAATAATTTCAAAATGAAAAACAAACCAAAATTCAATCAATTTATCCTTTTTCAGATCGTTCCGAAGGCATTCCACGATAAACTGTTAAGGAAAATGATATGTACAATGTTCTAAAGCACCTCTCACCTGATCACGTTAAAGGAAAACATTTTTTTTTTTTGTGATAAAGATTTAAATTGAAAAAAAAAAAAAAAATATTATAACGACAGCTGAGCGTTTGCCAAGCCATTTTTTGTCTTTGTTTTTGTAAATCATTTATCATTTGAATGAGTCATTTCGCTCGCACTAGAGAAAAGAATAATATATATATATATATATATATATATATATATATATATAGAGAGATTTATTTATTTTTGTATTTTAATATTTTCGAAATTTTAAAAATGTATATGTCAATACGCTCAATGTCCCGTTAAGAGCTTAAAGACGCAAAGTAAAAAAGAAAAACTTTCGATTGAAATTTTCTCTTTTCTTTACTTTTTTTTTAACAAACACGTTTGTTGGTGTCGGGCAATATTTCGAAAAACTAATGTATTCACGATTTCCTCTAATGTTTGATACTTCAGCAAATTACACTAGTTTTGTACAGAGTTTGTTAAGCTTAATGGAATCTCAAGTACAGTGTTGTATCCCTTGATTCAATTTAAACAACCCGGCTGTCAATGACTCTAAGATGTAGGGTGCAAAGCTACACACCATTTATTACGATTTTTTGCAAAGATCCAGATAATACTTTTCACAGACTCCGTAAACGATTAAAAGTGAAATTTTTGATCAAAATAGATTGTGCTTGATTTTAAAACCTAGACGTTGCACCATTCGTCGACAGATCGATGCTAGCCGCTTTTCTATGAGACCTTCGTTAGCGAAATCTTGTGGTTACAGCAAGATGGTGCCACCTGATACGCTCGATTCAGGGGGGAAGGAGTTTGGCAGCCGGGTTACTCCAAGACGCATATTTGTGAATTGGTCAGCGCGGTTGGGAAATTCAACAGCAATTAATTTTTGGTTTTGAGGTTACATCAAAGTCAACATCCACAGTTTGGCTCATTTGGAAGCAAACATTCGTCAGTCCATCGCAGACGTAACGCACCTAACGTTGAACGGATTAATTGCAAATTGTAGTCATCATATGCGTCAAGTGGGCATATGATAGATATTTCTTCTTCAAAATGAAGCAAAATTTAGATTGACACGTTGAACTGCTTTGTAAATAATATGTGTCGTCGCTTCGAAATCGAAAAATAAACAATTTTACCAAGCATATGGCGTCTGCCGCTTCGTGTGTATTTGTTCATCACTTTTTGAAACGCGGTCGAGTAGTGAGCTCAGCTGTACTCATGAAAGCCACATGTAATCCACGTATCATTGGTAATTTGCAACCAATGATAAATATCGATCTAAAGTCTGGTAAATATGCCAATCGTTTAATATTGAAAGACTTAGGTGACTGGTTACCTTAAGCTAATAAAATAGTGTTTCCCTTTATACGTAAATTGGTTTTAGGTGATAGCCGGAAAGTGTACTAAGTCAGATACAGTGAACTTTCCTTCGCAGAATCGCGTCTGACTGATAAGAGCATTAGAGCATTTGCATTTCCTTTAGTTCGCGATTTTATATGGAAAAGATTAAAAAAGGGCAACAAGCTCATTGGGCGGGAAATCGAGTGCTCTTTGAAAGGCAAGAGGGACACAATTTTTTAAAGGTTTTTTCATTATATTAAAATGTAACTACTCTTAAATGCTCGTCGGCAGTTTGACTTCCTACTTATAGATGCCAATTGATCGGGACTTCTTGATATTTCCCTTGCGAGCTTTGGGATGGGATCCTGACCTATCTCTTTCTCCACATAATAATAGATTGAAGCTCATTGATTTGCCTACCCTTGAAAAATGGCGTGAAATGTTGGGTTCCTCTTTAAGCTAACAAGAGATAATGTTTCGCCGGCTTTACCAGAACTTATTAATATTCAAGTCCCTAGAAGGATCTCAAGATGTTTTGTGCTCTTGCAGCTACCACAATGCCGTATCAATTATGAATTGTTCAATCCGTTTCGGGTAATATGTAAAATGTTCAACGATCATTACCACTTACTTGATCCGTCCGTAATCAACTGCTAAAGATTTTTACTGGCTTCGCTGTTAGGCATTAATTTAAAATAATTTTTTAATCTCGAGCGCATTTTTGTATTCACATGACACCATATTTTCATAGGCTGCTTACTACTAATTCATATAATCTTAGCCTACATTTAGGCTTAAAAAAATAAATAAATAAACAAATAACAACAATAAATGAACAAAAACAATTACTGATATTAAATAGAAGTAAAAAGAACAACATCTTATTCCCATTTACTATAGATTAGAGCAAAAAGTAACTTTCACGGGATTATTATTGAAAACGTTTCAATAACATTTTTTTGTCAATATTTTAAGCTCAAGAAATTAACGTGTAAAAAGGAAGAAAGCATTAGGGAGAAGAAAAATTTCAAAATTTCTTTATGGTTATGTCGACATTAACATACACAATCAATGAACAATCAAATGACCCTGATATTGAATTTCTTGAAATATATTTAAATATACATTTATATACGTACGTGTTAGTCGTCGAGTAAAAGGAATTAAAGCCTCCCAATGTTAATTAAAACGTTTAATTAAAAAAAGAAACAAACTGCTACCAGCAAACATTTACTTACTCACTTACTTATGTGAATTTCTATGTTTACATGTAAGTAAACACATTCTTCTACACTAACCGTTGCACTCAAGACAAATAATAAATAAAAGAAGATATTATAAGTGGTAGAATAGCACTTTACAAGAAAACATTACATTTGCAAAGCACACGTACACCTATTATAACGTACATGCATAAGGAAAGAACAAAACAACGGAACCATAATAAAATACAAGTAATAATAAAAAAAGATCAAAACTATAAAGGGGCGTAAGAGTAAAAAACCGTAATTGCTCTTTAAATATCAGTTCTTTTTGTTTAATTCATCTCTTCATTTGGAACACAAAAAGCCGGCAAAATCGAGTCTCCCGGTTGGCTCTTTTTTTTCGTGTTTTTTTTTTTTATAAAGCTTTGCCGTGTACTTCTAGGTGAGTTAAATAGATTGGTAATTTTCTTTAGTATACTAGTAGAGTTCTCACGGAACATCAGTTCTTTAGATAAAAACAACCGCGGAAATTATACTTGTGAATATTTATATATAAAACCGTGCAACTCGGTAATAAGGTAAAACGTGTTTAAGTTTGTGTTCTATTTGAAAATATATAATATTTCATCATATCATTGGTAAAATGATAAAATTACGAAGAAACGAGAGAAAAGCGAACGTGTTACTCTCGCTATCACCTTAGCCATAGGCATAGCCACCTTCTCTAACTTATGACATTAATTCGGTAGCTCTTCTTCTCTAGGCCTAATTAGTTAGCGATTTATTGTCACTGCGGTAAATTGTTATATGCGTTGGCATTAGTTTTGCAGAGGATTTAATGATATCTTCGCAAAATATTGCTCTCAATAATTTGCAAGTATTAATAACGTAAGTCAATTTAAAATTTTAATACGGATGTACTATTTGCCAGAGGGTCTCTTTTTTTTATTTTTCAAGCCAGCGCCCTTTCTATGCTATGCTTTTTATACCCAACTGTCGTTAGTTATACTACACTTTGTGCACGTAAGCGAGACACTCGAGATAGACACAATTTTTCGTGTAATATATACTTCTGAATTGAGTTCAGCTTGTTTATTCGCCCGTCCAATTTTGGACGTTTTTTTTTGAAGCCTTACCGCATAAACTACACTAAAGACAAGTGTTAGTTATTTTAAAGAAATTTTTATCAGGTTTTCAAACAAATTGATTACGACCGATTATATGCCAAGATATATAAATGTGGCACTATAGGTATCAGTATTAATTTTTTCATTTATTTATTTTTTTGTTTAATAAGATGCGATAACAATACAAATTAGTTACGTACGTATTTTTATTATTTATTTAAAAGGTGTTCGAAAACTTCAAGTATGTTATCTCAACTACTCAAATATGAAAAAAGAAAAAGAAAAAAAAAGATACCCACACCAATAAAATATAATATCATAATAAAAAATAACAACAACAACAAATTCTTATTTACTCTGTCGGCACAAAAAAACCAAAAATGATAAAGTATAAAACGCATACGTAGCGAATAAAAATTAAAACATATTTTAAAAATTTTTTTTCAAAAGCAGCCAAGAGCAAAAAAATATAACATTTTTATTCTTTTTATAAAGAGACATGCAAAGCAGACTAAGAGCAAAGATTTGCCAACTGATCTCTCAGTTGCCAAAGTAAGAGAAAAATCAAGTTATTAAAGTGGGATAGACAGTACATGGTGTAGACGGCAAACAATGCCGGTCGTAATGGTATGGGTTAAAAGAAAGAAAACAACTTTTATCTCTGATAAAAGCGATGATATTGGTGAGAATAATAGCATGAATGCTCGAACGAACCACAAATGCCCTTACGTTTACGTATCGTAGTAGTAGTAGTGGTGGTGGTAGTGGTAGTGGTGCCGACTGCTAGCTAGTCTTACTGCTTGTTTAACGGGAGGCCAACAACTACTACTAATCGGTATTTCCATAAGCAGCGACAGTAAAAACAGTAAATTCCAGAGCTGGCCGATTAACGCATTCAGTTGAAGGTGGATCGCGTGCGCAAACGGTTCGTTGTAAAAGAATTAATAACTTATGCGGAGTGGCAAACAACGAGAGCATTTATTACGAGTGAACTAAAATTGAAAAGAGCATTTGTGTCAATTAAGTTTAAATTCCGCAAAAGCAATCGTCACAAAACGCGATGCAAACGTTTCAATTATTCAATCCATTGTAATTGTATTGCTGATCAAGGAAAACAGTTGAAAAGACGCAGAAAAAGAAAAAAAAAATATTTCATTACAAATAAAGTGTCGCGTTTAATACAACCTTAACAGTAGTAGTAGTAGTTGTAGTAGTAGCGGTGGTCGCGGTGGTGAATATTTCTGATGTTTGTTTTTTTGGAAATTTCGTTCCATCTTGAAAAAAAGTGAGTTTGTGTCAAAGCTAAAAGGAAAATATAAATCGAAGGCACTTTGCTGTTAAACACCAGCAACAAAAATACTTAATTTACCTGTGACATCATCGTTCGCATATTGGAAAGCAAAAGCAATCAGTGAAAATACCAACAAGAATATCCTGAACATCCGCACAATAAATTTATTAAAACAACAACAACACCAGCAACAATAGTCAATAATTTCAACAAACACTACAATAAAACCTTTTACGTGTGAATTTAAAAATCCACAGGTGTGTGTGCTTGTTTTTTTGTGTGTATATTTGGAAGAGAGTAGTAACAGAGTGTAGCATTAAAAAGTTTTTATGCATTCTCTTCTTTACCTCACCCTTCCTCTATTACATGCGAATATATGAAACTAGTCTTTTATTTTAATATTCTATTAAACTATTCTTTGGCATTTGTTTTTTTTTTTATTTTGCTTTGTTTTATTTCTTATGCATTTCTTCATTTCAAAATAGATCAGGAAGATAAAGTTGTTTCATTATTTAAAATGTTAATGAACTTCTCTAGTTTTCGTCACAATGAACCAACCGACACACGGCACGACACGTTAAAGTTAAGGAACAGCAAAAAAACAAAAAGAAATGAAGTTTGTTGTCTGTTTGATATGTTAGCGAGATATTCGCACAAGCATGCACAACACCAAACATAAACATTGCGGTACTGTGTGTTGCGGTATTTTTTCGTTGTTCTGAAGTTTTTATTTTATATGATTTTGATAGATGCGTGTGCATATATACTGCCTGTCGTCTGTTTGCCTTACTCAGAGAGCTCAAGCTCTAAATTGTAATAAATGTTTATTAATTTGCTTTCTTCCCTATAAAAATTATGAGAATTATGCCAAATAACAGCGCAGCAACACAATCATGAGATATTAAACAATTCACGGCCATATCTACACGCGGACGAAGCATATACATATATATATATATATATATATATACATATACATATATATACATATATACATTTACATATGTATATATATATATACATATATACATATACACACACACACACACATATATATATATATATATATATATATATATATATATACAGTTGTAAGGAGAAATCTGTATTTAATGCTTTAAAGGATCGTATCTGGATTTAAAACATATTGTGTGACAAAAGGATACCGCGAGATCCATTTGTTCTGAAGTTCCGAAATCAACGAAAGTATATTGAGTTCCTTTCTGCGTTCGGAACACTTTAAGTAAAAGCCTGTAAGATGGGTAAGGTGGATTAACTTAGCGTCTTTTTGTTCTGCCATTATCCGCCCGTCCGTCCGATAAGCAAACGGAATCTTGAAAGATCCGAAAATTGATGACTGGAACTTCGATAGACTGGGGAGGAATGAGTAAATGAATTCAAATACACGTTCGTTCTTAGTGCTAAGAAACTTGAGCCAAGCAAGTTTTCACTTTGTTTACCGGATCTGTAAGATCATTTTCTTTAAGACAACCATAATGTCCGCTTATGGCTTCTCTTACCTTTTTCTTTTATGCCAAGTTGCAATATCTTTAGGCTTGAGAACATGACCGAACTGCGAAACAAAAGTGTATGGTGGAAATTTAAACTATGCGCGAACCGGTGTCCGATCTTCCGAAAAATTGCTTTGCTTTTCTCAAAAATGTTTGAATTCAAGTAGTTTTTAAAAACATTAAACAATACCCTCCAGCTGCTCAAAAGCAAGCGCTTAATAAAATTTCTTTCGCAATACGGAAAACTGGATTAATGGAATGAATGACTTTCGTTTACGGCTTTGAAGCTAAACTGCCGCAATTATAGTAATAAACTAAAAAGTCTTGTGTGTAGTCAAAAATCGATAAGCAAAGCAAGAGAGAGCAATTACGTGCAAATACATTTTTATTTTGTGTTTAGCGTATATCGATCCGATCCATTTTGCCAAAAACTTTTGCATAGGCTATTATTAGACAAGATCTCGGATGTTACTTTGAAATGAGTTGCCTGTGAGTTTATACATATCGTGTCAATTACAATTAAGTGACGATTCGTTGCAGTCATTTTGCTGCAGAGTCCGCAGTTTTTATAATAGAAACCTGAAGTATCGATCACTACAATGCTAACACGAATTTGTTTAATTACCGTTAAATACTTCCTTAACTATAAACAGATGAATAAGAGTCCTCAAAAAATCGTATCATATCATGTTTTGTGAAAAAAGTGGCGGGAATTCTTTAAACAAAATAAAAGACGACCGAAAATCGATTTGGCAAAGTCTCTCTAAAAAGGACTTTGATGAATGGGTTAAATGTTATTGCAGATGTATCGCTTCAAATAGATCGAATGATGTTTAATTGAAAGATATATTTAATTTTTACAATTCCCATTAGCTTTTTGACAGAATGTATGATTTTTGTGTAAATACATCCTTATAATAGCAATACGTTAGGTCATATTGTAAATTATCCACGGGATGGTGTTGATGCCTACATATCGAGCAACACTCACTCGATTTTCTCGAACGAATATGTGCTTAGAACGTGACATTTCAACTTACATTTTTTTGTGAGGATAGTTTTCTTTCTTCTATTCTTTGCTCGTGTAAACAGTTATATTGAAAAAATGCGCTATGGCATGCTTTCTTCCTATAAGAAAAGGTAGGAAGGCTCAAAAAAGAATTTTTTTGGAATGTACAGTGAGAATGCTGTGAGTGAAGGAAGGACCCAGGAGTGATTTTCCTCGATTCTATTCCGGACATTTCGATGTCAAAGATTTACCTCGCTCTGCTCGGCCAGTCACCCAAAAAGTGGATGAAATTTTGCAACTGGCGGAGCAAGACTGGCACGCAAACCCTTCACGAAATACCGCAAGCACTAAACATCAATCACATGGCAGTTTGGAATCCCTTGAGAAGAGCAGGCTACGAATAGAAGTTCGAGACCGTGGAGACTTTTCAATATGATCCATTGTATGCTGTCTATGTATATGCTAACTGCCTGCATTACTATGAAGAGAATGTATTTAATTAAAAATTTCATGATCGCCTCACGCATATCTATGTCTGTTTAGAAAACTTGATATATGCATAAACACCTATTAAAAAGCTATTAAGTAAGTAAATTGTTTAATTGTTCTGCAAGAGAAAAAGAGAAAAAGGAGAAAAAAAGAAAAACGTTGCAGAAGCAATCAAAAACTGTTTGAGTGTGAGCCTATCAAATTTTGTTAATAACGCATGCCATAAAAGAGAGGCAGGCAGATAACGCCTTGTAATGGATATGAACGTAAAGAAATGTTGTAAAAATGGTTGAAAACTTGGTGGAAATTCCGGAGGTGATTGTTTTTCTTTTGTTTCTTTTTTATTCTGAGCGAGGCAAACTATTCGTAATAACAGAAAAGAAAAGAAAAAAATTGTTGCAAAATTCCTTTATCAAATGACGGTCTCTTATAACTTATCGAATATACATACATACGAAATACATACATAAATCATGATGAATTGAAACTTGTCACCGCAGTCGTACAGATTTCGCATGACGAACTTTCAAAATACTTTAAATAATTTCACCTTCTCGTCAAGACCTTTATTGAAATCGTCTCGATTATGCTGAGACTCTAATATAATATTTTTCTTTGTCTTCTTTTTTTCTGAATTAGGATACTTATAACGAAAGTTTCGACGACGATATGGAGGCTGAACGTGATCTTGCTGAAGATGCGCAATGGAAGAAAATTCAACAGAATACCTTTACCCGCTGGGCGAACGAACATCTCAAGACAATAGATCGTTCAATTAATAATCTCGAAACCGATCTATCAGATGGTCTGCGTTTAATTGCCTTAATTGAAGTTTTATCACAGAAACGCATGCCCAAATATAATAAACGCCCAACATTCCGTTCACAAAAGCTGGAAAATGTTTCGGTAGCATTGAAATTTTTAGAAGATGAAGGCATCAAAATTGTTAATATTGGTGAGTGATAAAAAATTGTACTAAAGCAACTAAGAAAATTAAGGTTGCTCTTTTGCCGCGAATTTTGCATACGCATCCATCCTACCTCTTAAGTAAATGCATGAAAATGATTAAATCTTTAGATAGCTTTTGTGAGGCATCTCACTTAGTCAAATGGAATCATTTTAGCTCTGAATTTTTGCAAGGGTCTCAGCAATGTTACTATGTTTGCGTGAAAGAGGTCAAAAGTTTTCTATATATAGAAATTTTCAAAGATTTTCACTTTTAGCGGGACCTTTCAGTTCATTGGCAATAGTGTGAATGTCCGTTAGCACATCAGGACAACTTTTGAATTTCCTTTGTGCGGTTAGGTTAAAATTAATTTTCACGGCAATATTGAGTTTCTTATTTCAAGTTTTGCAATAATGAGAGCTTGATACAGAACAAGTCGGACAAGGACGGAAAGTCGGACTTAACTAAGGTGACCAAGAATGCCCCGTTGGTCATTGTAAAGATTATAGGCTGTTGCAAATAAAAGATATCCGTAATTGAAATGTCATCAATCATGATTCAGTACAGAGACATTTGGTATTGGTTCAAAAATTTATATAGCTATACATGATATGTCCTATGATGCCTTTGAAGTGCACTACTGTGGCTTGTTGCAAATGCAAAGACAAAGTTATTGCTCTTTAACACTCGGTTATGGACGAGTACAAAAATGTGCTAACAACATTTATGAAGTTATGAAATGATAACACTTAAGCTAATTGAGAAATTCATTATTATTTATTTAAAATTTAGAATCGCTTAACATGTCTATATAAATGAAGGGCATAAGTGTGAGAATGCTTACGTGTGTTTGTGTGTATTAACGGGAAGACTGTGAATGTGCACGTGGATATGTATAGATACGTTTGTGTGTGTGCGTTTGATTAAAGGAACAAGGGGGGGCAGATGAGTATATGTCGTCCGAGTCCCTCAATCATTTCAATTAACATGATAATCATTCACAATTTAAAATTGTTTACTTTATTCTCTGACTTCACTTTTACTATTCGAAGCAACTCAAAAGTTTTTTTTAGTTAATTTTAAAAGCTGACTATTAAGTCGTTCGTTCGTATTCCCAAATTCATCTTAATTTTATTACTATATATGATTTATATATATTTCATGAACACTGTCTTTTAGCAAAATGATGTCACTTTGTCTCAAATTGAATAAACAATTTCCTTTGGAAATTCCTCGAATTCATTGCAGACAATATGCTTTGAATCAAGTACGGTTCTAATATCGACTTCGTGGGTTTATGGACGGAAATCTTATTGTCTTCATATGACAAAGACTCTCAGTAATTACTAAACAAGTGATTTGCCAGAGCGAACACACATTTCCTAAGGTATATTAATTTTATGATTTCACTTAAAACGATCAAAAATATATACATGAGAAGCTTTGTGCTCCCTTTATGGATAAGTAATCCTACGAATAAACAGAATTTTGAGGGATTAAAAAGTACAAGATATTGATTTTCAATATAATTCCCTAGCGAAAATCTACACCTAATATGGAATTGGTTTTTTTCCTTGCATATATGATAAGCATATGCAGCATCAAACAAAGCAGAAGCAAAGTAATCGAGATAAGCAAAAGTGCTTCGGAATTTTTACACCATATCTCGCCGTTGATCTCCAAGATGTTTTTCATTCTTGAAGCCCTGCCTTTACTGGGTACACTAACCAACCAAGCTCAAGCAAAGGCGAACGGCATCCCACAGCCGATGAATGGTTTCTGTACCCTTCGTTCCGCCCTTTGCCAGTGGCGGATACGCATCCAAAATATGAAAGCGCTTATTTCAAGAGCACCCATACGACATTTCGCTGCATTTTTTTCCTCCAAGTAACTACGAGTGTCGTAAACTACTGTGCAAGATTTGGATGCAATCCACCATTCAATGTGCTACTGTTTTTGAAAATAGAATTTTCAAAAGCTTTACAATTCCTACAAAGGAAAAACTCGTTGAATGTAGACTTGGCTTAGGTTTGGTTTTTGTTATGAAATTTTGCATGATGAAAAAATGAGAATGTCGCCGAATACCTAAAGCAAGCAAGTTGTATGTGTGTGCCAAGAAAAAATTCATATGCATTGCTCGGCAGTGTTCACAAAAGCCCCAGAATAAATGATTAGCATAGACTTGTTCTACGCGACCAAGCAGCAAGAAGAACAGTAAGACTGGATTTTAAGGTATACTTTACGTAGGTCAAGCGGTAAAGGTATTTTTTGACAGAATTGCTACCGCAAAAGTCAGTGAGCTTGTATTTTATGATCGTCATATAAATCTCACTGGCTCTTGACGTTTAAGAGAAGCCCACTGATAATCAAAGTTTACGAATGGGAAAAAGTATGGATAAAATGAAGAAGAAGATGCATGAGCATTCCCCTATCAATATTTTTTTTTTTATCATATATATTTTATTAACTCAAGGGATGTCTTCTGTACAGATAGCTATGAAGGTAATGAGGAGGAATTATAGACACAGCCGGGACTAAAGAGGCTGCGGAGTCTGCGTGTTCGCCTCGAAGGTGGGACCGTGTAGAACGCTGGAATATGAAACCAACCGATGCATGACTGGCTGAAATAGATTTTAAACGACGAACTCTCATTCTATATGGATATATTAGCTTCGCTTTGAGAGAAATATCAATCCAAAGAAGAAGGCCCCTGCAATCAATGAAAGGTGTAAAAGAAAATTTCTCATATCCTAGTCAGCTTAGGATAAGTGTATGTAGAATTGGATCAATCCCTACCGCAGTTGCTTCTAAATTTTGGGATTGGAAATTTGTCTTTTTCTTCGAAAATTTTGAACGGAGGGGAAGGTAAATTTACTCGAAATTAAAACTTGAATTTAAATAGAAGTTATTTTGCAAATCAACTTTAATTTATGAAGTGAATCATTTACTGATTGCATAAATTTAAGTTTGGGAGTTATTTCAAATTCGCAGGGCAGCGTTTAACAGAGTTGCTCGATTGAGAATGCAGCAAGCTAAACATTTTACGCCCAAGCAAATAGATTAATTTATATGGAGACTGTACTTGGCGAAGATTAATATCATTTTCAAGAGAGATTACTTCAAATGAAATGTTTCATTAATGAAATGTGTTTCATTGTCTTAATAAAAAAAAAAAAAAAAAAAATCGGCTTAACCTAAAATTATCTTTAATATCATTATAAAAGAGAAATGGCATAAATTTTTAAATTTAGAAGAAAAAGTTTTCAATTTATAATAGCTAGAGATTATAAATCTATCATTATTATTATGTTTACTTGTTTCTTTGTCAAGGTTTGGTGTTGGAAATAATATCTGTTTGTTAGACTTTTTAGAAAAATCTTGTATCTATTTATTTATTTTTTTTTAAACTTTTCTCTAAGACGCTCTAACACGTTTAACTATCCATTCAACTTTCTTTTGTCAGAAGTTTTTTCTTTATTTATTTTTATTAGTAAACTTTTTTTTCTTTAATTTTGTATGTGCTCGTGTGTGTGTATGTGTGTGTGTGTGTGTGTGTGTAAATTTTACCGTAACGACTTTTTCTGTTTATGATTCATGTTTTTCAGCAATGGACTCATGCACTTAACATTATTGGGTAACGCATGCGCAAGCGCATCTCGAAATCATTCGTTCACTGGTGACAGTATTTTGAAGAAATAACAAAAAAAAAAAAATAAGAAGAAGAAGATGAGAAAGAAACATGTTTAATACATTTTCCTTAGTTTTTTTTCTTTCTTGTTCTTCTTTTCCTCTCTACATTTAATAATATTTCTTTTACATATAAATGACAATAATAGTAATGATAGTGACTTTTGTTTGTCTCGTCGCATGAATTATCATCTGCTTCTTTTTCGTTTTCTTGCTTTTCGAAAAGCTTATTGAGTTGTCAAGTAAATTACTTTAGTGTCCTCAATATTATACATTTTCTACACAAAAATGATTGAGTGACATATTCTGGTGATAATAAGCATTTCACCCAATAAGACAGTTACACTTATGTCTATTTTTTTTTTCTTTCTGCTTTTTATTATATATCCGTTTTCAAAGAACGATCGATTAATATTAAAAAGTTGCAACGTGCATTACTCATCAATGCTATCGCTAATAGTTTACCGATAAAATCAAATATTTCGACTTTTATAGATTAGTCACTAAGTAAGTAAATAAGTAAGTACGTAAGTAACTAAGTAAGTAAAAGCTCATCAAGTAATTTTGTGGGAAAATCGTATAGCTTGTGTGCTGATATCTTACAAGATAGTCTTATTTATGTTAAACCTCTTTTAAATACTCTTCCCTTCACCTTATACGATAAGCCGTAATGCGACCAAGTTATGCGAGTTGTGGTTTAACAAGTTTTGTAAAACAAAATTAATGGTAAATTTTAACACTATCTACATGTGTATACCTCTATGCGGTTTGAGAAAACTATTTTTAGTGTGGGTTTTCCTTTTCTGTTTGTTTTCTTTTTCGTTGTTTTCTTTCGGTGCTATGCCAAGTTAAATAAAAGCAAATAATAAATATACCTTGGTATTAAGGCGAATGTTCGATATCCATTACCCAAACTCACATAGTTCTACTACACCTATGCCCCGAACATACAGTCATTCCTTTTACATAATAGAAAAGCACAATATATCTTGTAAAGCAAATATTAGTCGGCGTACTAATGTCTGCCTGTTCTAACAGCTCACAAGACCTCGTGTGCGGTAGAAGAAACCTCGAGTCAGTTGATGTCGTTTGGTGGATTAATTCATATGTCTGAAGGTGTTTGCGAATTATTAAAAAATTCTTATAGTGTATCTAGGCCGAAACGAAATCAATACTCATCAAACTGATAAAGATTGGAAATATCTAGTTTGACGACCACTTCCATTGCTCCTTAATGATATGCAGGTATAGATAGACCTAAGTGAAAGATTAAAATCCTAAGCCGCTTAAAGTGTTAAACTGATTCGTTCACACATTGACAC